AAAAATTAGTAAAAGTGGTTTAATAGCTCGGAACTTCGTTTCAGTGAACCTTAATTAACTCAAAAATTAATATATAGAGCTAAAATCTCAGAAATGGACAGCGAAATGGCAGTACCAAGGCAATTACAGCCAGTGGCAGCTGCTCCTCAGGTTGAAGTCGGTTCCGGCACCTCTGCATCGGTTTCTATGGGCAGTCTACCAACTAACAATCCAGTCAACGCTGAAAAAATGCAGACTTGTAATACCATCAACAAACGACAATTAGCTCGATTCCATCCGTATCATGGCGCCAATATAATTTTATGTGAAGACAACACGGTCGCCTACCGCAAAGCCAGCTTCGCTGATGCAGTTACCTTTTCAGAGAAACCACTTCAACCCGGCGAAATTTTTCTAGTTGAAATAGAAAAAAATGAACGTGGCTGGTCGGGTCATATCAGGCTTGGATTAACGCAATTGCTCCCCGATGTGGTTGGTTCAATGTCAGAAGGTTTGCCACAGTTTGCGTTGCCGGACTTGGCCAACCTGGGAACTAGCTGGATATATCCAATCTCGAAATTTGAATCGCATTCCTTAACGCCCCGTAGCGGTACTGCCGGTGGGGTTATCGAAACGAATCCATTGTTTCACAACGTACCGCAACCCGGGGTACCGCGTCAGGATATATCTGGTACGGACGATGAAGAAGAGCCAAACTCCCTACCCAGAAGTAAGTGTCGCATATTTTAAGAAAAAATCGTTGACATAAAATTTGCGCGTTCTTTTATAGGCAATATCCTTGGGGACTCTATTTATGTACGCACTCCACGGGGCATGATACCAAAGAGGTTATTAAGACCCACTGTTGAAAATGGTGATTCCAATTCGGGCATTTTACTAACAGATAAGGGTTCTCGTATTGGCGTTGTATACGTGCCTACAGAAGCTGATAAGGAAAAAGGAGAGATGCATTTTATTATAAATGGAGTTGACCAAGGACCGTGCACGAAGGAAATACCCATGGATAAATCTCCTTTGCACGTGGTAATTGATGTTTATGGCACAACAAAGCAGATTCGAATCATACAACTTTATGGAAGTAAGTGCCGAATCATAGCAAATGTATTTGTGCATATATTTACTTACAGTAGCCCAAATATAAATTGGGCAAGTTATGGCTATTTTGCTCTGGTTATGTTTGTTATTTTTTTATGCATGTTTATCTCATCGAATAAAAATCATATATGTACATAAATCCAAATTTCAGACTTTGTGCAAAAGCTATGAAAATTGTGCAAGGTTTCTCCAAAGTTTCAACTTTTTTTGTTATGAAGTTTTGTAATTCCGTAAATTGTAGTATAATAAAGTGCAAGGTTGAAATAGCTAACTTATGCATACAAGAAAATGAGCAGCTCCTATAATTAAAATGTCGCATCTTAATTTATATTTGGGACACTAATAAATACATACACATATGTATGTATTTATCAATTTATAAATACTTATCTTCTTTATTTTTTCTTTTAGTCGTTTCTTTACAAAATGCTTGCAGAGATGCTATTCTCCTAAACATCAAATCGCAAAATATTGAAAAGTTGCCGCTACCGGAACGCCTAAAAAATTTTCTTCGCCATAATGATTAGATAAAATTAACTTTTCAACACAAGCAAAATTTGCAAATATTCGCATAGAATGCACCTCGTTTTAGGGATAGTTTTGAAATCGCAAAAGAAATTTTAATATTACAGCATAATGCGTCGTTAGGAAGTTTTTTGTTATATCGGTCTTCAAGTGTGATGTGAAATATTACGTGCACGGAAAGGAAATAATACATGTTGAATATATTGAAAGTTTTGTTTGTTGTTACCAATGGTGGGACCTAAAATAACCACATTCGCCCATCAAACGGGCTTAGATGCATAGATATAGTGAAAGAAATTAACCTACATAAATATTTATACAAGGATACAAAGTAATTATATATGTATGTATGTAGTAGTGTGTGCAATGCTAATTATTTTTCCACAGCAAGAATTAGTAGTTGAAGGCAACAATTTTATTTGCAGATTTGTTGATTGTAAAAGCATATTTAAGAGCACACCAAATATCACATTTTACCGTAAAATATTCCGTATTTTTGCATAGATGTAAATACCTTAGTACATATGTACATAAATATGTTCTAAAGGCGCTAAAAATGTACATATTCAGCCTTATCGCAGTCTCGCCCGAAAACAAATTCATCCGAAAATTTTTCATCCGCCCGTAGTGAATACACATAAGCGAAAAGAGAAAAGTTAATGATTTCGGGCGAAAATGAAACTCATGATAAGGCTGATTGTTTATCTCCATACATGGATATGTATGTATGTATAATTAAATATACAGTACATAAAAAAATCTGATAAGAAGTTCATCTTATCTTTGCACAATGCGCTAAGTTAATAAAAAAATGAACGAAAACATTTTACTTTATACTTTTTATATAAATAACTACATACATATGTACATTCATACATACATCCCTGCAAACCAAAGTTCCCGAAATCTTAAACGAAATCTTTAGGAGTATCTGATTTCTGTAACGATTTTTTTATGAATCTTCAAAGAAAATTATATGAAGTGGTGTACTAAAAATAAAGAAAATTCTGAAAAAATTCTGCAAGAAATTCTTCTCAAATTCCGTAAAGGAATCTTCCGAAATTTCGTAAAAGAATCGAAGTGTCCAGTTAAGTTTATTTTAGAAAATTCGGCAAAAAACCCGATTAGGTCTTTACGAATTCTTTAAAATTTCTCTACAATTCAGAATACTCTGAAAATATGGTTTGCAGGGATATTACTTGAACTACATATTAATATATTTATTTTCATATTGATAATTTCATGAAACTAAATTCGCTTTTTAACCGACTTCAAAAAAGCTGGAGGTTATCCGGTGGCAGAATTACAAAGTAGTAAAAACGGATTAGCGAATTCTGAAAAAGTAATTACACTGATGCATAGAAAAATATCCAACTAAACCAAACTAAAAATAATGTTTTGTTAAAAATTCATATTTGCAGTCATGACACGAGCTTAAAGTAGGAACAATGCGAAAAAAATAAATTTGTAAGATAAAATTTTGATTTTGTCGTAAGTAATTTGAAATAATTTTTCCAGTTGTGTAGATATATGTATATAAAGTCAATCTGATTGATGAGCAGTTTTTGAATATATCTGTAGTCCAGCATTGCTTTAAATTTTTATAAATCTTTTGAAATTTATAAAACAGTTTACCCTGAAATTTGTGAGTATAAAATTTTTCGAGTGCTTACTTTAAAAAGGACCTAGGAAGCGAGCTAAATTATACTTAGGATAAGTAAACAGTAAATATGCGTGTCATATCTCAAATAGTTCCACCACCCACCTCCTATATACAATTTATTGAATTTTTATTGCAGATCTGAAGGGAAAGGCTGATATGTACATACATATAATAATCAATATGCAATATAAAATGGAAATTGAAGAAGGTGTAGATATTAATGACTCGCCAATCTATTAATTACATTCAACATTCAGCCAAAAATAGACACTTCTCTGGACGAGATCCGTTTTCGATCGAAAGAGTCCTGCCTGCCTTAAATCAGCTTTTGTTGTATAAAATGTAGGTAAAATTTAAAGTTTCAGTTTATATGCATATCATGTACGTAGCAGGTATTGTAAAAGTTTTCGTTTTGTCATTTTTAATGTGAAGAAATAGGAACTTCTTTGGAAATAAAATAAGTGTGCCTCTTCATTTTCTCCAAAATTCATAAAATTTAGTACTTACAGCCGAAAAAGTTGGGCAGGAGGTAGGCACCGTAATAAGAAATTCTTTATTATCTTCCAAGTTGGAAAATTTGTGTTGTTAAATCAAAAAATATATATATTTTTTTTAATTTGCGCCCGTTTTTCTAGAATTACCGGACGATAATGTAAACCGATTTTGACGATCTTTCAGATTTATGGTTTTCTCATTAAAACCAGCATATGCTCTGAATTTCATCAAAATCGGATAACATTTACTATTTCTGCCCACAAGAGCTGTGGGCGTGCTAGGGCATTGAATTTTACCATTTCCCACATTTCTTCATTCCTCATTGCCGAATAGCGCATTACGAAATTTCAGCGAATTTCTAGTACCGTTACTATTTTTGGCCGCAGCTTCGACGATCTTACCCCTATGGATTTTTTTCTTTGGGCATACCTCAAAAGTAAAGTCTATGAAACAAACCCAGCGACCATCTCAGCACTAAAAAAAATGTCGTTCGCGAGGTTAATGGTATCCCGACATCACTTCTCCAGCAAGTGTCACGGGGCACGGAGGCCAGATTTCAAGAGTGTATCCGACGTAACGGTCAACATTTAGAGGACATAAATTCTTAAAAACAAAATCCACACTTGTCTTCTTTGTAATAGTTATTGAAATAAACTTTTCATCATTCTTAATACTTTT